ATCTATCTATCTATCATCTATCTATCTATCATCTATCTTCTATCTATCTATCTATCTATCATCTATCTATCTATCATCTATCTATCTATCAAGCTATCATCTATCTATCGTTCTATCATCTATCTAGCTATCATCTATCTATCTATCTATCACCTCTATATATATATATATATATGTGTGTGTATGTATAATTTTGAGTGCATCTAATATATTAGAAATATTTGTATATTTACATATACAGTATGCGTATATATATATATATATATACAGTATGTAAATATTAATAAATATATATATATATATTAATGGCATAAATACCTCTAAAAAAATTATATAAACATTATATAAAGTTGTATATAGATTTAATTTTACAATACAGGAATTAATCTCTTGGTCTTTCAAACAAGGTCTGAAAATATATATTTTTGTGCATAATTTTTTATAAATTGTGTATATAATATAAAAAATGTTAAAATGTTTTATTATTATATATGTATATTTATTTGGTCACACTTCATTTTAACGTCCAATTCTCACTATTGACTTCGAGTTTTGCCTCAATAAACTCTTAATTTGCTGCTTATTAATAGTTAGTAAGGTAGTTAAGTTCAGGTAGGATAAGGGATCTAACATATGGTCATGCAGAATATAAGTACTAATAAACAGCCAATATGCAGTTTGAATGCTAGTTAAGAATGAGAATTGGTCCTTAAACTTGTGTTACCATTTATTCATTTTTACTCATTTTTTATTTTTTACACTACGAGAATGAATCTTTTTGTTGCATTTGTGGTGTTAATGCATTGCTCGTGTGTGTGTGTGTATGTGTGTGATTTTCAGGCGTCACACCCAAATGTTGTGTTGAAACGACTAACAGGTTTCCACTCGAGATTCTGATGAAAGTGAGCAAGTATGAGGTCCAGACGAGCCACGGCGTCTGCGCCATCGACGCGCTCGTGTGAGTGATTCATTCATATTTCATGTCTGCTGAATGATGAGCTTCTGAAGGCTTAAACTCCTCCATCCTCTGCCTTCAGACTTCACGCCAAAGACAAGCGATACTGCGCGACGCTCAAACTCCAGCGATTCCTGCAAACCTTACTGAAGCTCAAAATGCGGCACGGTCTGAAAAACACTGCCTCTGCTGTTTGAATGGACGAGATCCCGACAAACATTAGTCAAACTGCACTCAAAGATCATCAAAGCATTTACTCATTGCTTCTGTTTGCATGTTTTCTACGTCTTTTGCTGCTGTACCATGGGTGCAGCAGGCGCAATGATATTACGCAGCGCCTGAAAGTAGTCCCCAGCACGCTTCCCGTGAAAGCAGGTGGTCACGTTGGTTATGTTGGCAGAAGCTAGCGTATTTTCAGGCGCTGCGTAATATCATTGAAAATTTCCAATTCCCCTAGAGTTAAACAGTTGAGTTTTACTGTTTTCGAATCCATTCAGCCGTTAACAACAACAGTAAACAGTAAAACTCAACTGTTTAACTCTAAGGGAGTTGGAAAATGAGCCTATTTTCAAAAATAGTGGACTGTTCCTTTAAGTCATTGATCTTGCATTCGTAGCTGCTCCATTTTGTACACATTTTGTTTAAAGCTTTGTTTTGATAACTTTTTTACAAAAAAAAGTTTTTTTTATTAGAGTATGAGAAAGGCACATAAATCAAAATTATTGCATGCTTCAAGGTGAAAACTGTTTCTTGTATCTTGTATTATTGAATTGAAGAGCTGTTAGTTTGATGGATGAAGTTGCTTTGTTTTTTATTACATTTTTTTAAACAAGGGTTTATAATGACAAACATCAATCTTATGAAAAACAGTGAAGACAAGTGCTATATATATAAACTGTTGCAAAGCTGAAATTTCAGCATCATTACTCCGGTCTTCAGTGTTAAAATGTATTTAAAAAAGGAATATATATATATGTATGTGTGTTTTGTCTTTTATATTTATATATATATATTTATTTATTATTTCTGAAGATCATGTGACACTGAAGACTGGAGTAATGATGCTGAAAATTGAAAGCTCTGATCACAGGAATAAATTACATTTTAACAGATATTCACATAGAAAACAGTTCTTTTAAAAAATATTTCACATTACAGTTTTTACTTTTGGTGAGCAAAACAATCTAATAATATAATTAATATTTAATTATATACTATATTACTAATAATAATACTACAAATGTTTATGGTTTATGTTCACAGTGCATTGACTAATTAAACATTATTTTAAAAACATATACTAGTAAATGTTGATATTTAGATGAACTAAATTTAATAAATGCTTTTGACCGTGTTTATTCATTGTAAAAAAAAAAGTTCCAATTAGCTATTGCATCCTAAAATTTTGTTTTAGAATAACTTACGTTTGCAACCATTTTAATAATACTGTTAACAAATAAAAAACCTTACTGAAGGCTTTAGTTACTGAAACGTAGCATAAATCTGATCCTGTAAATTTAATCTAAAATATATTCTACAGTAATCAAAGTGAAAGTGATGAGACCTGTGGCCACTTATGGTGTCTCATACTCTGAATTTGTGCTCTGCATTTAACCACACACACAGTAGTGAACACACACACACAGTAGTGAACACACACACACACAGAAGTGAACACACACACACAGTAGTGAACACACACAGACAGTAGTGAACACACCACACACACACATAGTAGTGAAAACACACACAGTAGTGAACACACATACACACACACACACACACACATAGTAGTGAAAACACACACAGTAGTGAACACACATACACACACACACACACACACATAGTAGTGAAAACACACACAGTAGTGAACACACATACACACACACACACACACACATAGTAGTGAAAACACACACAGTAGTGAACACACATACACACACACACACACACACATAGTAGTGAAAACACACACAGTAGTGAACACACATACACACACACACACACACACATAGTAGTGAAAACACACACAGTAGTGAACACACATACACACACACACACACACACATAGTAGTGAAAACACACACAGTAGTGAACACACATACACACACACACACACACACATAGTAGTGAAAACACACACAGTAGTGAACACACATACACACACACACACACACACATAGTAGTGAAAACACACACAGTAGTGAACACACATACACACACACACACACACACATAGTAGTGAAAACACACACAGTAGTGAACACACATACACACACACACACACACACATAGTAGTGAAAACACACACAGTAGTGAACACACATACACACACACACACACACACATAGTAGTGAAAACACACACAGTAGTGAACACACATACACACACACACACACACACATAGTAGTGAAAACACACACAGTAGTGAACACACATACACACACACACACACACACATAGTAGTGAAAACACACACAGTAGTGAACACACATACACACACACACACACACACATAGTAGTGAAAACACACACAGTAGTGAACACACATACACAC